ATACACACAGACACACAGACACACACACAGACACACACACAGACACACACACAGACACACACACACACACACACTCACACACACACACACACACATACACTTAGTAATAATAGTAATATGATCAACCACAGGTATTATTATGACATATTTATGGCAACACAGAACTAGACTTGTTAAGCACTGTATGAGTTAGTCATTCAAACAAAGCCATATATATACATGTAATTAGAAAAATAGAAACCAAGGGAATTTTTTTCTACTTATTCTTATGTTGAAGGATTCTCTGAGATCTTGGAACAAATAATTTAATCTCTTATAAAAAGACAGAAAACTATATCTTTTAATAGAAAGAGAAGTTGTGTTCTTATCACACTTTTTAGTCTCTCCTCCCTTTCTTGTCGTCATCCACATGTTTCCCAAGGTTGGAACACCACAACTCCGCCATAAGTGTATCTCTGCTTTATGTCTTTCTTGTGTACAATGCCAAGGTTCTGTCTACTATCTAGATCTATTCACTCCTTGATACTTTCAACACACATCATTGTCTGTCTTTCTCTTCTTTTTTTTCCGTTATGTGCTCTCTTCATCAGTATTGTGTGGAAAATACTGGAGGCACTCAGTTTTTAAGTATCAGTTATTATAGTTAATTCTAATATAATAAAATCTTAATATATTTATTGTTACAATATCTTTGTTGGTACGTCCTTTAGAAGTGGTTCTTTTATTTTCAACACCAGAAAGTTATCTACATCTATGACTCTCAATGAAATGGGTTAATTGAAGAATTTATATGTTTTAACTGCTTTCAACAGTTGTTAGTGATTAAATTATAACTTTATTTGGAAATAGAATTTCCATTTTAGAGAACAACAGAAAGGAAAGACTGACAAAAATGAGGAGGATTTTCTGTTATGAAAGGATTGGGACTTAAATAAACATGTTTTTTTTATAACAAGCAAGCTTGTTGATTTGTCAGAGACCACAATTCTTATATGATTTTCTAGGCCTGTTTGTTTTATAATGATGGAGTTGGATAATTTTTGTATTTATTCCGTCATCAGACATACAAGGAACAAGATACAGATCAACTGTTGTATGATGTACATTTCTGGATTGGGCGTCACAGCACACAGGTGAGGTTTATATGACATTTCTATGCTAAATGCACATTATTATGTGGGTATTCTGAAGAAGAATCATGGTAAACTGTAATAACCCAATATTTTCAATATGAGCGTAGTTACGTTATTGTCTTTTCTCTCTGATACAACTCAACTGCAGCTCTCTTTCGTCTTCACTTCTGTCTTTGATTATCTCTCTTCCTCTTTCTGTCCCTTTGTCTCTTTCTCTCTCTGTCTGTCTGTCTGTCTGTCTGTCTCTCTCTCTCTCTCTCTCTCTCTCTCTCTCTCTCTCTCCCCCCCCCCCCCCCATTTCCCTCTCTCCCTCCCTCCTTTCCTGTCTGTCTGTCTGTCTGTCTGTCTGTCTGTCTGTCTGTCTGTCTGTCTGTCTGTCTGTCTGTCTGTCTGTCTGTCTGTTCATTTATCTATCTGTCTATCATATATATGAAAGAATAAATCAGAAACTGCTTCTTCTAGCTTCAGGATTACTTGCAAAGAAAACCACCTTTCATAAAAGTTTACGATTTTCTATTAGTTTCCGGATCACTAGTCAAGCATGAAAAAGAAGACACTCTCTGCATGTGGGCTGCATACATTTGCATAATATATATAGGCTATATATGGCTATCTAGGCCAATGTTCCTTGAGGTGTAACTCTTCACGATAGTTGTTTTCTGTGTTTAAGTTACTTCATGGTACTAAACTTTAAAAAATAACAAGACTCAGATGTCTTCATTTTTCTGTCTTTGTGCGAGGCTTGTTTTCTTTCTTATATAATATATTTATACGTATTATGTGTCATGACTCTGTGGAATCAGGCATTTATCAGTTTATAAGCATACAGAGTTATTAATATCATCTTAAAACTTGTTCATTTGTTTTGGTTTTGGTGTAAAAATATCCATCTGTCGTGAAAGGAAATTGAGATGTTTGCAATTAATGAGGTGGGGGTCGCCTGTTGGTAGAGGTAAAATAAGTGAAGAAATGGCGACCAAAGTTATATAAAATCCAAAGCTTGATAGTCTTTGGAAACTGCAAAGTTACATCTTTTTGTGCCTTTGAAGTATGTTTTTCAGTTTAAAACCACACAGAAATGTGTTTATAGATAAACATAAAAGCTGTCGAGCCAAAAAAAAAAAGAAGAGAAAAATCAATAAAAGTTGCCCAAGAGGCGAAAAATGTCAGAGGCCACTTTCAATTTCATTTTTGTCACGAGTGCCTGATTTCACCATGATGACTCGCATATTCTCTTTTTAAATGCTTTAACTGTGTTTTGTAACAGAGTTACACTCCTTGTTGCAATACACTGAAGACATATGTGGATGGTTGGCAGGCACTGTGATGTGGTCTGCTTCTTCTTTCCCTGTGTGTGTCTGTTTCTCTCTTGAAACACCTAATCTTTGGTAGCCTACTTATGGGACCTAATTGAGTTGCAAGTGCCATAAAACTCATACTGAAACAAATATTCTCCCCAGGACGAGTACGGCACAGCTGCCTACAAGACAGTAGAGCTGGACACCCTTCTGGATGACGTCCCAGTTCAACACAGAGAAGTTCAAGGACACGAGTCGGAATTATTCAAATCCTACTTCAAATCCATCACGTATGGACCTTATGATAATAATATTATTAATAATAGTTTCATTGGCTAGCTGTTCAGATGTTACAAACCCCAATTTTTTTAATTTTTTTGGTACAGTTTCTTTATCTGCTGGATTGGTTGCATGTGCTTGAAAATTTTTTTTCAAAATTCAACCTAAATAAGAAACAAGCAAGAAAAGATGTATAAAGTAGGTACAATTGTCAAAGGAATGAGACAGGTTTTTCCCTTCTATTCCTGAAAAATTTTGCTCTCTGGATTTAGAACATTAATTTGTACAGCTGGCTAACAAATTATAATCATGTTGGTAATTGCATTTGCATAGCACATAGGCATGCTCTATAGCATGCTGTGTAGTGAGCTTTACAACTATCTGTTATTACCCCAACAGATCCTAGAACAGTCTGGAACACTGTCAACTTCTCAGGAAGCACACAACCTAATAATGTCATGTGTCATTTTGAAGCTTAACAAAAGTGTTTTTACTTTCTGTAGTAGAACAAAAAACTCATGACAAATCATAGCGAAAAATACCTCCACAGCTGAGGTAACAACATGTTTGTGTTTCCTATTTGTACCAGTTGGTTAGGTTATATCATGGCCCTTCAATTTTGAAAAATTGTGTTTGTTTCTTTTTTCTTTCTCTCCGTAAATGCAGATTATGGAAGGTGTATATATTGCAATAGCCAAGGACTTCACAATATGGACTTCTCAGAAACGACTAATCTGTTGTTAAATCAAAGTAAAATTACCCTTCAATTTTCAGTTCTGGCAAGTTTACTCATGTGAAATTTGACACATGCTCCCCATATAGACCAAATTTGAAAAGGGTTCCCATTTGAAAAATGGAATTTAGAAATGTATCTTTGTTTCTCCAGAATAATGAAGGGTGGAGCGGAGACAGGCTTCCGCCATGTCAAACCTGAGGAGTACAAGCAACGACTGCTGCAGATAACTGGAAACAAACAATCTGTCACAGTCACAGAGGTAAAAGTTTACTTTATCACTTCCTTTCAGGTTTAGGATGAATAACATTCATATGTTACATATCACATATCATTGTTGAAAGATGCAAACCTCACAGTTACTTTTCCTTTTTAGTTTTGGATGCGACCTGCAAAGTTGAGCTATGCTCTCAGTATAGTTGCTCTGGTTATGTCATCATTGCAAATGAGACAAAAATGTACACCATTTGCATAGTATCCTATTCACAACTAATCTAATTATGAAACTGCCAACATAGGGTTTATAGTTGAACCTGCTCTAATGATCACCTGTCCAAGATAGTCACCTGTACAAATGACCAATTCCAGCTTCCCAACTACCCTCCTTGTTCCTTTTGTGTATTCTAATGACGCTGTTCAAGAGGACAAATTTTCTAAGATGACCACCTTTCTCTCAATGATACGTGGTTGTCTTGGACAGGGTCAACTATATCTCAGTGAAATATAAGGACCAAGTTGACTATTATTTTCAGCATCATTGTTGCACAGTTGATAGTATTCCTTGAGCCTATAGTGAAGAGCAAAGATTTCTTTTAAAATGTTGTCCTTTTGAATTTGCATTTAATGCCTCCTGTTCTCATTATAAATTAGAGAAATCTTTGTATTGTTTGATTTATCTCTAAGATCAGTGAAGGGTGATAATGACATTACTATCTTTGTTACATAAAAGTCATTCAAGTAGATTGCAAATATATGATAAATAACAAATATTACAAATAATAAATTGCATTTACATTGCCCATTTTCATCTGTACAAGATGCTCAATGTGCATTACAATGAAAACCATTTTTGTTGTTATATAATTGCAGGTTCCTTTGAACAAAAACAGAGTAACTGCAAAGGATGTGTTTGTGTTAGACAATGGCCTTGAAATATTCCAGTGGAACGGGGAAGAGTGTGCAAAGGAAGAGAAATACAAGGTGAGAACTACAGTATGCCTGCTCTTTTATCGATCTGTCATTTATCGAGTGTCATAGATCACATGGGAGAGAAAGTCTCTAATTTCAAGACCAGGATTGGAAAAGCTAGGGGAGCATTCCAACAGTTTCAGTAGTGGCGTCGGTAGCCTAGTGGTTAGGCTACCAGACTCGTAATCATGAGATTGCAGGTTTGGGGGTTTGAGCCTCAGCTCGGTCTGACATTGTGTCCTTAGGAAAGACACTTTACACGAATTTCCCATTTGGCTCAGTCCTTTCGGAGACGGACATTAAACTAGGAGGCCCCGCCTCTTAAATAACCTAATAGTGTTTATAGAGGCGTTAAACCCTTACCATTCCACAGTTTCAGTCTGTCTGGGGATTAAATTGGGAAGTATCAAGACAAGTCTGAAACATGGAAACTGACAGAGCAGTTGGTAAAGAAATTACAATGCTTCATCAATGGTAGTCTGAGTAAGATCACAAAAATCCACTGGCTGGACACCATCGGAAATGTAGTATTATGGAGGTGAACCAAAAACAACCGGTTGACAGTGAGATCAGAAAAAAGAAGATCGCGATATATTTATAAATGCTGTGATTGTTTTAATCATTTTTGTCTCAGATGATGTAGAAAATTTGAAACCAAGGGAATACTTTAAATATGTATCTGTGTTGATAACCCCTTTGGATGTAGACATTATTTAAATTTACTGAGTAGTCTGTCAATATCTACTCTAGAAATAGGCTCTGTTTTAATTTGAACCTTAGAACCTCTTAAAAATTGTATGAGATTTTAGAGAATAGAAATATGTGATTAAATGTCACCTTTGTACAAAAGAAGTCATTTACTTTTAGGCCTATCGATCACAGCTTCTTCTTCTCTTTCTCCTCAGTCACATCTCGTTATTTTGAAGACCTTTTATACACTGCACTGTCTTGCTTAGTAGTTCCTCTGTTAACTCATACAGCTTCTCCTGTAGTGTTAATGGGTTTGGCCACTTTTCATGTGTTTGGGTTCTCTTACTCTGATGAACGATGAGTTCCACAGTTTGGTTTGCTTCTCCACTCTAACATTTGGTGGTTGTACAAGTTTAGTTTAAAGCATCTGTACAAGCTATGATGATTATGGCACATCAATAAGAAGTTTGACTTCTATTTCACAGGCTGTCCAAGTTGTTCAACAAATCAGATCTGAGAGGGGAGGAAAACCAAGTGTCGAAGTTTTTGATCAAAACTCTGATGATGGAGTAAGTTCCTCTTTTTTTTTTTTGGTTGCTCTGTATGATTACCGTACATCACATATTCACAGAAGGTTGAGATTCATTATCATAATATTTTTCGATCTTTCTCTCTCTTTCTCTCTCTCTTTCTCTCTCTCTCTCTCTCTCTCTCTCTCTCTCTCTCTCTCTCTCTCTCTCTCTCACTCACTCACTCTCACTCTCTCTCTCTCTCTCTCTTTCTCTCTCTCTCTCTCTTACTGTATCTTTTTTTTTTTAATTTGTATAGTGTTTTACGGCGCTCGCAACTGCATAGGTCATATGAGCGCGCGGGGGACACTCCTAATATTTTCAGTTGGTAGGAAATTTTGAATTTTGCACGGGTGGTGGCCGAAGCCTACTCTTATCGATTTTAGACCACCAAGGGATCTTTAACGTGCGCAACTTGCACACGGGCCCTCCGAGATTTTTCGCCCTTGTCCGAGAAGGCTAGGTGTAGATCTTTCCTACCAGAAGATCAGGGGTGTGGCAGAAAGACAGCAGTAAGGAGGAGCCAAGGAGTAGCAGTAGAAAGAGTCAGGAGCCCAGAGGAGGGGGCAAAGGAGGTGAGGGGGTGGGGGCAGAAAGTGGAAATGAAAGCAGACAACAGAACATTGCTAGAGAGCAGGAAAGGAGGTGAAAGGAGACAATTTTAGAGAAGAAAATTTTTCGGTCGCTACCCGGATTCGAACTCGGGACCTTTGAATGAAAGGCCAACACCTTAACCTCTAGGCCACAAGAGCCCCCTTACTGTATCTATGTCTGCGTGTGTATGTATGTGTGGTTGTGTGTGTGCGGTTGTGTGTTTGTGTGTGTGTGTGTGTGTGTGTGTGTGTGTGTGTGAAGGATGTCATAAAAGATGCAAACTATGTAAGTCAAAGTTTTATTCATGTCAGACAAAAGCACTTGGAAATGTATGTGGCACTATTGTGAAATCAGACACTCGTCAAAATAATAAAATCAAAGAAACCCACATTTTTTCCGCTCATGGGGCAATGTTTATCAATTTTTTAAATTTTAATTTTGTTCAATGCCTTTAAGGTCCATTTTATAAGACATGTCTGTGTGGGTTTTACTAAAAATTGTTGATCAAAGGAACAGAAAATAACATTTCCAGTTTGTAAGGACACCCAAGCTTTGGAAGCAATCAAATTTAGGTGACTATTTTCTCGCTAATTTTATCTCTGACATTATTAGGTGACCCCCACCTCCTTAAATAGCAGATATGTAGATTTCATATTTAAAATAGAGGGCACCAAATTTAGTATTTTTTTACGAAAGCAAAACAAATGAACAGGCTTTAAGATGACCTATTAAGCTCTTTGAATCGTGTCTTAATATGGTGCCAGTTTATTGTGCACAAACTACTAAATAAGACAATGGTGAGAAATGTGTCATTTTCTGGCACTTTCAAGTGACTCACTAGCTTCCATCATGGCAGTGTTTGTTTGTTTCTTTATGTTTAAAACTTGTGAATGAATGGCAGGTGCTCTGGTGTAGTTTTCTCCCTCTTTCCTATCAAATATCTATTTTAATTCTTATCTCTCTTCCTCCTTTTCAATTATTTGGAGAATTACACTGCACTATGAGCCTGTCATTTAACTTCCCCTTAGATCTTCTGAATGAAGTTTTTGTGTTCTGCTTTTTGAAACAAGTTATTGAATTCGAAATATGCCAATTGAATCCTCAGTCAACGTTTTTCGACCACTTCAATGATAATGAGGATGATGATGATGATGACTCTGAATATGAAGACAACGATAACAAGACTCCTGAGCTTTACAGGTAAAGACCCCTGACATTTTGTGGCATCGGTAGACTAGTGGTCAGGCTACTGGACTCATTATAATCAAGAGGTTGCAAGTTCAGGGTTCACGCCTCAGGCCCGATGTTGTGACCTTGGGATGGGCACTTTACATGTTTTTCCTCACCTCATCCAGTTAGGAATAGCTACCTGACCAAAATTTAACTATTATAGGGTGAAGGTTCATTATTTTTACATGTATTTTGTTTAATATGTTTGTTTTTAAAAAATTTTACAGGTGAAAAGTATGGCTCTTTTGTGCTGGTTTGTTTTACTTTTTATTATATCAAGACTGAAAAGAAGGGGGGCTTTGGGGGGGGGGGGGGAGGGAGAGGGAGGACTGTGAGAAAAGGGATATTAACTTAATTTTTTTCCTTTCATGCAAAACCTAAACTTATCAATTGCCAGAAAAATTAGTATCCCTCTTAATCTCCATTTTTAATAACAGTGAAAACAGTTCATAACAAAGAGTGAGCTTAAGAAGAGTCACATTTTCAATGTTTAAAAAAATGGAGATACGACAAGAAAGCTCTGAGATCACGATGAGTTGCAGTTGCAGTTTATTTTTTGAGAACGGAAGAAGCTGTCCCTCATCTGAGAATGCTCTCAGTTTCCTCTAGCTTCATGTTGACAACCCAAACTCCCTGTGGTGAAGAAACACCCCCTTCTACATAATGTTTATGATACCTGCCTTCCTAATTTGATACAGTGGAAACCATATATAACAGGCCCGGTAATAACAGGGATCCGGTAATAACAGGGATGATTAAAATCCCCGTTTTTTCCTACTCTTTGTCTCTATTAAAAGTTATCGGCAATAACAGGGCCTCATCGGAGCCCAACCGGTTATAGCAGGGACAAAAGCTCGTTAACAATGTGTAAAAATTAAAAAGAAAAAGAGAGAGAGAGAGAGAGAGAAAGAGAGAGAGAGAGAGAGAGAGAGAGAGAGAGAGAGTAACGCAGTGATGGAGCAAGCCCACTCAAACCATGCCACTACTGCGAGCACACGCAGCATGTGAAGCGAGAGAGGGCTGCGGTGTGCTGCAGACCTCGATCTAGCCCAAAACCTAGCAACATGCACGCGTAATGTGTCATCAACGTTGTCAAGCGCAAGAGAAAATGCCTTTCAATTGACAAAAAATACGAAATAATCCAGGCTGTTAACGAAAAGCAAGCTCCACTGGCAGAGATTTTGTCGTCAGTTCGACATTCCACAAGGGTCGATTCACACCATTATCAAGGATAGAGAGAAGATAGTGGCAGCATACTCCTCTATGGAAAGTTTGCTCTGGATCGAAAGAAGATGAGACTACCCGATGCAGATGCTGTGGACCAAGCTCTTCTGAATTAGTTGAAGGAGGCAAGGAGAAAGTTTGTGCCAAAACCCCTGTTCGTGGGTACTTGTGGCAAAGGAAACTACCCATGAATAAGTACAGCTGGATTAGTCCACAAATGCTTACTGTCCTTGCATTTCTGATTTAACAGGGATGGGATATAACAGGACATTTTCTCTACTCCCACCATCCCTGTTATATCAGGTTTCCACTGTACTTACTTTTACTTTTTCTTTTCTTCCTCTTTTGCTGTTGAGTGTTGAGGGGAGATACAGTTTTCTATGGTAGGTCGACTCTGTAGCTCTTTCAATTGAGATGACATTTTTCAGGGTTCCCGTGACTCCTTCAATCCACCTTTTGCATGGCCTACTTTTTCATTTGTAGCCTGTGTAGCCTACTTGGTGGTATAAGCTCTACATAACGTGCCCAGTCCATTTTATTCTGTTTTTCTTTGAAATGCAGAAAGGATTCCGTGCCAACAGTTGCTCTTGCATCTTCAGCTTAATTTCTTTGCTTTCTCTTCATCTGATACTTATAAGGTTTTGCTGAGACATTTAATCTTGCGTGCAGTCATTTCATGGGTTTTAGTTATTCCCAATTTAATGAATGATATAAAAGCAATCACTCTGATGCCCTCATCAGTACCTTTTTCCTCTCTTCAGGTTGAGTGATTCATCTGGTGAGTTTGAGTTTGAGAGGACAAAAGAGGGACGTGTGTTCAAAGATGACTTCTCCAGCAAGGTGAGACATTTGCTTAAGAGTTAGGATAACATTCTGTAAACAAAAAAGTACTTACTCTAATTTGGCGGATACATAAGTAGAGTGGGGCACTATGTAATGATATATTTTGAGGTATAGATGTAATAAATGATGAGGAGATAATAATAATATGTCTTTCATGTCTCTACTTTTTGTGGAAGAGCAATTTGAAAAGACAACAAAGTAGTCTTGTCTTTTAAAGCAAAAGTATTAAGAGGTACACATATCCAAAGTTGTTTTTTTGACAACCAGCTTTAATGTTATTCTATTGCTAAAAGTACCTGTAGATGATTGGTGGGTGCTCTGGTGAGGATTGCTCCTTCTTTCCTTTCAAACATCTATCACCCTTATCCCCCCCATCTCCTTTTCAGTTATTTTGAGAATTACACTGACTTTTTCCAAATGAATCAACACAAGTGGTTTCCAGCTTTTATTCTCCGGTATATCGTCAAGATATTTATTTGTATCTTTGAATAAATATATTGATTATGTGCTAGTCATCACTGCATCAAAATGCTGAAGCTGCCTGTCATAACTGGTACAATTATTAGTTTGTCATCAGAGAATTCTAGGTTTTGATGGAAGTGAAAGCAGATCTTGATTTTTCCCAATCAAGACTCTTGTTATGACCCATACATTTCTGTCATAGACATTTGTTTGAACGAGACTCACTCTCATTTCATTTATGTCAGGTTGATAAGGCACTCTTAATTTTCCAGCTGATTTTTTTTTTTTTGCAAAAAAGTTGCAACCTATACATGAAGATATGTCATGGTAGTTCAAGTAAAGTTTTCTTTCCTAACAATCCCAAAGAGAGGGAATCACAGGATAAGTATGTAGCTAGGTCAAATAAGTTCCAAATGGAGGGCTAAAGTTTAGTAATTACAATAATCAATTCAACAGTCGCAAATGTTGGCTTCAGATGGACATAATCATCATCATCATCATTGCCTTTTTCACCCTGTATCAGGATATAGGCCACGAACAAATACTTTCCACCTTTCCCTATCCTGGGATACCCACTTGATGATATTCCGTGTCTGCCCACTTATTTGTCAGATGGACATGACTTCAGTTAATTGTTTTTTACTTTCTATACAGGATGTGTTCATCTTCGACAACAAGAAGGAGGTCTTTGTTTGGATTGGCAAGAGTGCATCAAAGTCTGAAAACCAGAATGCATTGTCATATGCACATGTAAGCATTGTTGTTGATTTGCCTTCCTGCTCCGTGAAATAGAAATACGAAGCAACAAAAATAATTCACTTCTTTTGAGAAGTTTTTGATGGGATGTAGTATATTCAGCATTTTATAGTCTTTCTGTAGTATAGATGAATTGTGAAAAAGATTCCTTTATGTATTAACGATTTATAAGTTTGCTTCTTTTGGAATACTGTATACGTGTAAGCCTGTATAAACCTGTTCATTTGTGACTTTGGTTGTCTGTTTCTTTTTATTTCAGAAATATCTTCAAGGCACTCAGCACCCACTGTTGCCAATCACCTGTGTCAAAGAAGGCAAAGAGAACAAATTCTTCAGGTCTGCAATAGCGGCTTAATTAATTGCCTTACCGTGGTGCAAGGTCTGTGGGCAGAAACCGCATCAGTCACGGACAAACGGGCTCAAGATGAGGATTCTGATCACAGAGCAAACCATGTCATGTTTTGTGCTCTACTTAGATCAACTCGTAATGTTTTTTTTTTTTTTTTTTTTATATGTTATCGCAAAGATCTGTTTACTTCAGTGACTCATGGTAGTACACAAGGTGCTTCACATTTTGGTTAAACAAAGGTTGAGAAAGCGGTTCAGGAAGGTATATCGATCATATAATCTGACTGCTTGCGACAAAGTATGAGCTTGTGTGAGTGGAGTACTCAGGACTGATGTGTGTGCAAATGATTCGTCATGTTACTTTTTCAAGTTGTTGTCTACAATTTCTTCTCTATTTTATGTCGTTGGTGTTGTTAGCAGTCTGCATAACTGAAAAAAAAAAACCCAGGAATTTTATAGAAGTCTCAAAATCTTTTTCTTGTGGTTAAAATCCTGTGCATAATCTTATGTTCATAGCCAATAGCAGAGCAGTCACCAAGATAGAAAGCAGTGTCCAGCGAGATCAGTGAAAATTGTTTGCAAAAAAATTTTTAAAGATAATATACTATTGGAAACACTGAATTCAGATCTAGTTGCAGTTTATACGGGTTAAAATCACTAAATATTGAAGGGATAGGTAAATGTTTGTGTCAAAATTTTGAAATTGTTCATAACAAAATGGGCTGCTATTTCTCAAGTTACACAGATTGTATGCAACACTGACAGCATCAAATGTAAGGTTCCTGTCTCCACTGTCATTGTGATAATGCAGATTTCTTCTTCCAAACTAACTTGAGTACTTTTACAAATCCCATACAATGTAAACAGCTGATATAATGGTATGGCATTTGTTTTATTTTAATTCTATCTTAGATCGTTTTTATTCAAAACATTATAAATGGAAGCTACAGTTTAAGTAATATGGACTTTCAAAGTGTTGAAAATACTTAGTTCTCCCCAAAGATTTGGTATTTTTGATTTTCTCAAAATTGTTTGAAAAAATTGTGTAAGTACATTATATGAGTTTGAAAAACGTACTTATTTCTCAAAGAGTATATAAAGTTTCAAACATAGAAGTCATATATGGGTACTACAAGCTCCAGAAAGAAAACTGTTGTCCAAATTAAGAAAATTTCAACATATCTCAGCTGATTTCCAAGAGTGTCATTGAATACGTGTTTAAAATCTTTTGTCTGCCATGGTATAAACAGAAACGCACATGAAATGGCTGAAATGTGATTAATACAAGGCTTTTGATTCTCCTTCTAGTTAATCTCACCCAAACTATTGCATTGTATAGTGGAAATCTTTGTTTTCTCAAAGTCAGCTTTAGAAAGTGCAATTATTATGTTATGCGAGAGTAAGTGTTACGAATATGAGCTCTTCAGTGTCATTTCAAAATTACTAGAACCTATGATCTGCAATGGTTTAAATTTTAATCACAATTGTGCTTTGATATTTATTTTTCTCAGTTGTCTCAATTATACTTATAGAGGTAGGCCTATATTTTATGAAACTTTTGCTTCATTTATTATTTAACAATGCTGTAATTTAAATAAAGAACCAAGTTATTTGAGGAAACTGAACTGCATGTTTATAAATACAAAATGCGTTAAAAATATTCTTTATCATATTATACATAATAATCAGTTACTTTGTGTTGTGTCTTTGAAGAAAAATAAGAACCTTCTGGCAACTTCCCCTAAGTTTTAGCAGGCGAAAACATTAGAGAACAAAAAGAAAGAAGAAAGCAACAATAGATTTTATCAGCTTCATTCTCATCGAACCTGTTCTTTTTTCAAATTAAAAGCATGCAATTGGAGAAAACATCAAACATTTGAGACTCATTTTTTCGCGTATGTATCTTGAGTGATAGTAACATTTAAAACAGCTTTGCTTTATAATAATCAATATATGTACACTTTACTCAGCAAGTTAATTTTAAGAAAAGGAAAGATGTGATCTCTTTGCCTACATGCACTACACAAACATAAGCCCTTTTTGTGTAGGGACTGTTTGTTAAACGTGCTACAAAAGCAAAAACCCACTTCTCCCTTTTACGATGGTCAAATTCACTATTATATGGTACATTTTCATATAATTTCTATGTTTTGAGCATGCTCATCAGAACGTAGTTTATCTGTTCAGTCCAAGGGTACGGTACGTATAATGTATTTATTTTCCAAAGAGTCTTTAGCTAGATTAGATGATAATATTAATATATATGTCACAGCTATCTCATGGTCATGTTTTTCATGCTACTTTTATACTTAAAACGAACATTGTTTCTTCTTTCTGAAATTTATTTTGAGAAAACATCAATAAAAAAGTTTAAAAGTCTGATAAAACCTCTTGCGTTTTGAGTGCAGAGTTGAAGCATGGACAATACATTATGTGTGTGGCTGGTGGGCACTCTGGTACGGTGTGCTCTTTCTTTCCTATCAAACACCTATTATCGTAATTAAAGTTTCTCCTCCTTACTTTCTTTGTATGTTACCCTCAAGTGACATCTCTAATCTTTGGCTCTTATAACACCTAATTGAGTTGCAAGTGCCACGAAAAAACTGATATATTACTACTATTCCAATGAGCCTAAGGGATCCGTACCTGCGAACCGACCGCCCGCCCCGTACCTGTGACGGGATCCGTAGTCAGTGAGTTAAAGGTGTTACAAGATAGTAACAAACACAAAAAAGAAGGAGGGGAGATAAAGAGGATAGATGTTTGATAGGAAAGAAGAAGCAAACCACACCAGAGCACCCGTCAACTACCCACTGTCATTCGATGGCTTCAACTTCATGGCAAAAGAAAAAGATGGATCAACGAAGTCAAAGAGGCCTTCCAAAGGAACAGCATGACGATCAAAACACCTAGCATAAATCCAACAATTGACCTCCCCTCGACACCTTGTGGCATAAGAGGACAGAAAAAGTGAAAGTAAGTACTGGAGAGTAACATACAAAGAATAGGAGAGATATTATAAGGACAATAGAAGTTTAACAGGAAAGAAGGCACAAACCACACCAGAGCACCCACCGACCACTCACGTTGAGTTGTTTTTTTCTTTTGGGGTGGGGGTGGGTTATTAAAAAAAACATTCCCTTCTGAGTTCCCAACTGGAGTTGGTTTGCAGGCTTAGGACTGCCGTAGGCCCATTAAAATGTTTTTTGCTTTTGTTGGAGAGAGGTTTCCACAACTAGATGGCTAGATGGGACCCCAGTAGAAGCTAGCTGTGACCTATATGATGAGTTGGAGAGAGGTTTCTACAACTAGATGGAACTCAGTAGTTACTACTAGTAGCTGTGAGCTGAATGATGAGTTCAAGAGAGTCCCCGGGCCCGCGTCTCCCAGCTATCTCCTGTCCTCATAGATGTCGCCACTTTTGTTGATAGAAGTTTAAAATCGTTGTCTGTTAAGTTGTCCATCAGCTCATCACCATTACATCTTCCATGGCTGTCAAGTGCTGGAGTCAGTGACGTGCTGGGGTCACAACAGTCGACATTTCTATTGCAGGTACAGATGAAGTGCACTTTAAAGCAAAAAACATTTCTTGTGTCAACACCGCTCTGTCCGAGGAATCAGTTTCATTTTCCTTGTCATCAGCATTGTCCTTTGTTGTTAAATCTGTAAGTGTAAGCACGTCTGTTGCTGGATGATCCCTGTCTGCTGGATTGTTGGCATGTGTCAAGGAAACAAGGAAAAAATGGAGTCTCCAGAACCGCGGTATATCACATTACATACTGTAAGTAGCAAATAAATCATTATAAAATAGTGTACTTTTATACACTCAGATAAAAACGTGTATTTTCACTTCATTACAGTAAGTCAGACAAATATTGCAAATAAACCAACGTAATTTCTTGTCATTTACAATAAGCTGCGCATAACTGATGGGAATGGACTTCAATTTATCTCCAACCCCCCCCCTGATTTGTGTAAATCCACTAGGGATTCAAGAACAGATTATGAAAAAAAATATCGAAGGGCTCCAATTTTATCAGAGTACTTGGCAAGTGTGCAGTGGGCATTGCTGAAGTCACAGAGCTGGAATTATCTTGACACCAAACTTGCCTGGCTTGTCTGGGCAGTACACTGGGTAGCTGAGACTTGAGATTGCCACTCCACGCCAACGTGCCTTTGTCGACAGCCATGTTGATGTTGGGGGTAGACATTGGCGGTGAAAGTTTCCGCAAGTTTGTTGAGGAAGGGACAGATCTAGAGGAGGGGATTGCTACCTTCCTCTTCCCTGTGAACAAAGTTGTCTCTGCCACAACAAGAAAGTCTCATTTATGACCAGGTTTGAAAATAGCAGAGCACAGGGCAGTGTCAGCTAGAATACAAAGTCACAACTTAGATCAAAAGATTTACTTTCAAGAAATACACACTTGCATATATATATATATATATATATATATATATATATATAAAAACCAGGCCATCTCATCAGTTTGTACAAAGTGAGATAACTCGTTATGATATCGTCCTTCACCTAGTCGTGTTAGAGTCATTTCCCTTGCTATTGGGCAGTCGGGGGAATTAAACAGAGGACAGCATTAAAAACCTGTAGTGTTACACTTATTTACAAGAAATACATAACACATTTTTTTTTTTAAGCAAGAGGTTCAAATTTGGGTTTCATTCAACACACTAACAAACTACATCCAACAGCTCACATTTTGCACACTTGCCTATAGACTCTCCATTCATCCTTCACACTGGTGAGTGTAGTACTGTGTTGGCCACCCAGCTCAAACCTCTCCACACAGTCTGCTCCTGTTTCAGCATGACATGTGTATTGTGGTCTGAACAGGGAGTTCACCCTTGCGCCACGATGAGGCCCAGTACTTCCAACTTCTGCAAGGGAGGGGATGGGGAAGGGGAACTGTGGCAGTCTCTGCTGGAAATCCGACTCAGGCCAGTCTTGGCTTTAGGTCTGCTGAGTGACCACGTCTTCCGGCTTCATGACGGGCTCTCCAGTGACTCGTCCTCTCTTGCCGGTCGAACGTGTCTCTCCGTCCTCTGGTGGAACGCCTGTTTTTAGGTGGACGTTTTACACAGTGAAAAGATCTATGAAATCAATCACAACAAAAAAACATCGAAGGTGCCAAATGTTAAACAAAATTAACAAAGGCAAAGGCAACCTAGAGCCTAAAGGCAAATTTTGTTCACTTAAATTGTCCCAAACTGGAGTTTCTTTTCTTAGAATCTTAATTCAGAAGAAGTTTGACACTGAATTATTTCTGCATCTCAACTTTGGACAAAGTTCTGCATTTCAAAACATAGCACACAAAATATAGCAACACTCAAACTGTTCGAAGTTTTAAGATCTATTCAACATAGCAAACAGATCTGTACTGTTTCAAAAACAAACTGTGTAACCTTCAATCCTGTACATATCTGAATCTCTTCATAAACTTGACGAAACAGTGTTGTATGACGGCCAAAAAATGCAAGGTATGAAACTGACTGGGAGGAGAACGATGACAAAAATCACTGCGCTGTCTTAAACCTTCAGCTTTGTGCTCAGACTGAGGTCTTTACTCTGTGCTCTCAGATGTTTTTCCTTCGAGTCGTTTGAACGCTGCACCAGCTCTAGCAACCGTTACTGATCTCTGTGTCTGTATTGGCTGTTTGAGACTTTCTGCAGTCACGGTTGGTGAATTTTTCTACAGCATTTGACTCTCTCTGACATGAGCAAAATATGAGACCGCAGGCTCTGGAGAGGTACACTAATGCAAATTTTATACGAAGCTCTCCGAGAAGTGGTTACAACATTATTTTCATCTCTTTTGGTATTTAATGTAAGTCCAAAGTTACCACAGGTGCTGGAGAAACAGGTAAGCTGATGTTGGCAAAGAGGTGTTCTCTTGTGTTTTGGTGCTCAGAGCACAGTTGTAAGCAAACAGAAGATACCTGATGATAATTTTGAGTACTTTGCCAACAGGCGCAGCTATGAGACGACTGAGCATGAAATAAGCAAACAACTGTTGAAATGAAGCTTGTCTACTTTACTGGTCGCTGCCAATCATGGAAGCAAAATAATTTTTAAATCTATAATTTTGTCCCGTGCCCGTTCCTAGCATAGATCTAGAATCTATTATTGTAAGAACGCCATCATGAATAATAATCAGTACAACCAGTAGAAGAAAGTTAGTAGGTACACAGTACTAAGAACAAAATAACAGTAAACACAATGCAAACAACACCTTACAAATGCTAGACAACACAAAATCGCAAACACACAGAAAACTCGAACTATGACAGTACCATAATATTATTGTTAGCTTAAAGTATTTTATATCCTAACATCCTCTGCTCCCAAAGAGTCACGAGGCGGGCACTTTCCCACATTCCCACTCCCTAGTGGAGCAAACCAAATTTAGTTAATCGTCACCAGACAAAAAAATAGGCCGAAATATGTGCGCTCAGTCTCATCTACTGGTGACTATGTTAATGGGGATCTACTCTAGGGGCATGGACCATGGAAAACAACAACACACACATATATATATACATACACATTTGTCTCTACACTATGGCCAGCCAAGTAAACCAAAAATCCCAATCACCATGCCTTTACACAAAATTTAAAACTGCCATCATTTGAAACGAAAAAGATTGGCCCACTACCCTACCCCGTCACACCAAATACAGGCATTCTGGATTCCCTTGCCTTCCAAAACTGAAACCCATTATGAAAGGTCAAAGGTCAGTTCCCCCTTGACCCCTGAACTGTCATATTTGATAACAATATTGGACTTTTAGCCACGAGTCCACACTCTTAAAACTAGAACACCTTTTTCATATCAACTACTCAAAAAAATACAAAAATATTCAATTTCAAGTGGCTCGTGGATGTGTTCCACCCCTTTCCCTCAGCTCAACTCCTTCAAAAACTGCCCTGTCCAAAAAATGAGCTGCCACTATCGTTGTTACCTGGCTCTCTGACTCCTGAGACTAACGTCTTCGACTTCACCGACTATGAGGGATTGAGCATCATTTCCCCTTTGACACCCAACCCCTCATACCCAATTTCCTCTTCAGACTGAATAGCCCCACCACCCCATGCCTTTCAAAGCACCAGCCTCAAAAACAAGCTTATAAATTAAATATAAGAAAACTAAAAAACAACACAACTCCCACAGTTAAATCTATCTCAGCTCTCCTCATTATCAATGGAAGGACTTCTGAAACGAGCGACCACCTCAACAAACACAACAAAGAAGAGACCAACCCCTAACCCTACTCCTACCCTAGCCCTCTATTCTACTCTGCCTCATACTTGTGGTCGCTTGTTACGGATATCCTCCCTTATCAATTCCTACAGTTGTCTTTTTCTCCCTCCTCTTCCCCTAAAAATAGTAATTGTCTTTTTCCTTTGCTACAACTAATAAAACTGATGACCTACTTGACTGGCTATATATATGACAAGAGACAAACAAAGGGTCGGTGTTAGTGGGTTGTAAAGAAGGTGAATCCTATTGAGACTGGCGCACCTCCTACCACAAATTACCGGTTATACTATATGGCGTCTTACCTTTATCTAATGAATTATAAACTCAAACATTTACCTATTTTAAGATGATGAACACAGTAACAACACACTCATCCATACTTTCTACAACAAAAACAAAGAAAAAAATGTCTGCAGGTTCCAATCCAAGTCATGGACAAGCCAATTCCCTGAGAGAGAGAGACAGGGGGGGAGAGAGAGAGAGAGAGAGAGAGAGAGAGAGAGAGAGAGAGAGAGAGAGAGAGAGAGAGAGAGAGAGAGAGAGACATGGGGGGGAGCGAGAGTAGAGAGAGGAGGAAGGAGGGGAAAGGGGGAGGAGAGAGAGAGACAGAGAGAGAGAGAGAGAGAGAGTGAGAGAGAGAAAGAGAGAGAGAGAAACAGAGCGAGCGAGAGAGAGGGAGGGAGAGAGAGTGAGAGAGAGAAACAGAGCGAGCGAGCGAGAGAGATGGAGGGAGAGAGAGAGAGAGAGAGAGAGAGAGAGAGAGAGAGAGAGAGAGAGAGAGAAAGAGAGAGAGAGAGAGAGAGAGAGACAAAGAGAGATCCCCACAAAAACCATTAAAAGTGAACAGTCTGACTCTGGACTTCAGACATGCATGTTTATACACTAGATCTAGAAGGTGGGCAAAAGCCAAAAATACAAAAATCCTAAAACCATACACACACATCGCTAGAATAGAATAAAACTTTAACAACACACGGACCCAGACAAACACACACTTGCCACACAGCCTACAATACAGTACAGAAGTCCATCACTCAGACTCAGTGATCTTATCACTTAGCCACCATCTTGTCCTATCCCTTCATCGGTTTTCTCCGTAGTACATCGTAGAGAACAATCACCTCTCCACTCCTAGGTCCACTAATCCACCGCACCTCTCTTCCAGCCACCCGCCTCAACCACTCAGTGTACCATTCCGGCCCTCCAGCGGCCAATCTATTGACAACTGGGACACCTTGACTATCTCTAGCTTTATCTACCTCAATCAAATACCGGTTTCCTTCACAATCCACACCGACTAAGTAAGTATCCCTTCTCACCTCTAATCCACAGAACATGTACTCTCCTTCCAGGCCATAGAACTGGCCTTCCTCCAAGTCAAGACGCTCACCTAGACGAAGTAGCGATTCAGCGGTGAAAAGAGACGAAGAATTCCCCATGGCGGCGGCAAAGACAAAGAGATCGAGAGGGCAGGACTCTTCTCCTTCAGCTCAGGAACGAATGGATCTCTGGAAGACAAAGACACTAGATCTAAAGATCGACGTGAAATCTTCAGAAAAGCGACTCGACAGCCAAACAATTGTTCTTGATAACTTGCAAATCGTCTCAAACCAAATGCAGTGCGTCAATACACTTCAAACAGTAGACAGCTTTTGCAACTCGCAACCAAGAGCAAAATGGCGATCAAAATGGCGACTGACTAGGCCTACATCCGCTCAAAGAGTTTTCCAACAATTCCTTAGTAAAATATACCGGAAGTTCGTAAAATGGGGAATAGCGGATGTACCCCATGAAAGAGGCAAAAAGCATTGTTCACAAAATAATGTCCTTCACACACAGAATTCTACACTTAGTGTGTAGAATTCTGTGTTCACACAAACGCGCAAAATAATTTAAATCTTTTTTAGAATAGTTTTTAAGAGTTTTAAGGCACTTGCACCACAATAAGGTCATATAACTGCCGAAGATCAGAGGTGTTATAAGAAAGTAAATAAACAAAAACAAAACAAAAAAAAAGGAGGGGAGATAAAGACGATAGATATTTGATACTGATGATAGGAAATAAGAAGCAAACCACACTAGAGCACCAGCCAACCACCCACTTAAATCTGTTTTTGGTTTTTTAAAATAAAGTTGAGTCAACTACATGTATACATATATCTATTTACCTAACATTGTTATTTTCTTATTAATTATAGAAGCAAGCTATGCTATTATGTTCAAAATCGTAGATCTATACAATCGTGTAGGCTAGGCCTACCCTGTCCTCAGAGGCGAAGCGTCTATAATCAAATAATCCCTTCCTAATTTTGAAACATTGTAGCAGTCAAATTCACCCATAGACGTAAACCTCAAATTAAAAAAAGACGTTCATAATCACCAATGAACAATAGACTATGCCTAACCTTCAAAACCGTTTTATTGCCACATAAATAGCCTGTTCGCCCCTATCGGGCCACTCCATAAGCAGCCACAAGCTTTGATTTAAAAGTAAGCTTAAAGTGAGGCCGGAAGAGTCTACCAATAGAGTTGAAGGGAACATGGGCATAGCAGTCAAAACTGTTTCATTGAGAGAGAGAGGGAGGGGGGGGGGGGGGGGGGGCCTCATTTGATAGATTCCATGTCGGAGAGGACTAATTTAACTTTTTATAATTTCTTCCCAATTAATTTGTGCCTTGCCTAAGTCCCACATGAGGTCTGGACAGTGACAGGAAATGCACCCGCTGCTGTCTCTCTTCCTCTTTCCCCCTGCACAGACTCAGTCCAGGTTTAGAAAACGCCGGCAGATTGTACCACGAGCGAGTTTGTTGGCTCCCACCTCCGGGCTAGGCATGCTTAGTAAGAGTTTTACGGCACTTGCATTGCAACACAAAATAAGTGCCGAAGATTAGAGGTGTTACAGGACAGGTGTTTGATAAGAAAGAAGGAGCAAACCACACCAGAGCACCCGCCAACCACCCACGGGGAAAATGTCTTCATGCATGATACAGTGGAATCCTGTTATAACGAGAGGGAGGGAACCGGTGCGAAATGTCCGTTATAGCAGGATTCTCGTTATAAGGGATCCAGTAATAAATTCAAGGGAAATAGTAAAGTAGACCTAATCTATGAGTTTGGTGTTCTGTTTATTCCTTTTTGTATTTCCCCTGATGATGATTTTGTTCAAACATGATCTCTAGGTTTTACATGATAAAAAATCGAATCAGTTTTTATTCTCTAGCACTAGCAATGTTGACAGTTCGGCGTTGGCGATCCGAAAGAAGAGGCTCTGCCTTTAGGCTAACTCGCCCGCTGTGTTGTCCCCAACCCCACCACACCCTGAAGTACGTTGCGTCTGCTTGCGCACGTCACACATTCATTCCGTCTATCACAGCATTGTTACCTCTCCATCCCGCACCAGAGAAGTGAGAGGCTCGGTATGCCTAGAAAATCTAGACTGGGCTGGCCTATCACACGATGCGTTCTGCTTGTCTGCGCATGCCACACCCTCCCCATTCATTCACTCCGGCCTTCATTGTTGGTTTACTAGGGCTCTCCCATTCTTTGTTTCGCTGGATCACAAAACAACTTTCTCAACTGGCGAGGTTTTATAATATGTGCAATTGGTCTGTGCGCTGTGCACAGCAGCAGCAATATTCCGTTATAACCGACCCGCGTGACTGACTGATTGCGCAATAGCAGTATTTTATTTACAAATATAAAGAAGGAAAAAAAACGGGGTTTTAGAATAGTGTCTTTATGACAGACTTCTCCTTATTTCAGGACTCATTATAAGTGGACTCCACTGTAATTACAATTTAATTCTTTTGGGTGTTTTATGCCTCTATCGATACTAGGCCATATGGTCGCTTTTAAACACAAGGGGGCTTTCCCGAAAAATGCTGTTTTGAGAAAATCGAAGGTAACGTTTTTGCTCCTTGTTCAGTTTCTTTAATTAAAAGACAATGAGAGTTTTTCTCTATAGCAAAACAAATATAAACACACCACAGAAATCAAACTTCTCCCATAGGTAGGGCAATGCCCAATTTTTGTGTAGATCAAGATTTCTGGAAACCCCCGAAATCTGGGTTGTTAGCCCTCTTGTCCTTAAAAGCGACCATCATATATAGCCTATGTACTATCTCTACATCTACATCATTTTTGGATAGGGACTGCTCCGACCCACGACAAACGCTTCCATTTCCACATGATTCAAAAACATTCCTAGTGAACCTACTACTACTACTAGTATGCCTACTACTACCCATTCCACACTGCAATTTTTATTTCGTAAGAGTTTTATGGCACTTGCAAAAATATAAGGTCATATAAGTGCCGAGGATTAGAGGTGTTACAAGACAAGGGAGTAACAAATGCAAAAAAAGGAGGAGGGAAAATGACAACAGACGTTTAATAGGAAAAAAGGAGCAAACCACACAAGAGCACCCTCCAACCACCCAAGCAGAAATTATGAGGTCATGCAAGAAGACGTATACAAGATACATATGACATGTAGTATCTAATATATTATTTTTATTGTCAAATACTGCAAGGGTCGTACCAACAAAAGCACTCGTCATTCGTATCATCTCATTTGTCCCCGTCGTTTTATGCAAGAAAAATTCTGAAATTATGGAAACTGAGCCCAAAAAAAGTGAAAGTATGCGATTCAGTGAATTTTAACAAAGACTGATTAAGAAAAATAAATATAATTAGAAATTATGCAAAAAATGATCAAATTTGGCTAAATTATGCGGGGTGCATAAAACCACGGGGACAGGTTTATACGGAGCGTGCGTTTCCATGAACCTGTGCAAAGGGAAGAAGGGACGCAGTCATCTCACTCAATTCTGTATTATTTTTCTAGTGGTGTGGTGGGTAGACAACCCCCCCCCCCCCAAGAAAAAAAAAATCCCCACAAAAAACTTTTATTTACAACACAAAAGCATCACCAAGAACAACAAAGAATAACAAAAGCAACAAACCAAAAACAAAACGAAACGACAACACTGAAGATAACAGACAAATCAACAAGTAAATTTTTATATTTTTTCAAAGAACACACGCACAAATCAGCATTTTCATTTTTTGCCCATCCTCAGCAGGATACAGACCACTGTCTGTGGTGTAGTGGGTAAGCCAATTGTCCTCGCATGTTGGAGACCTGAGTTCGATTCTCGGGTGGGGAGGATTTTTTCAATCTAGTATCTTGGTCTTTCTGCTGGGAGAAATATCATTGAGCGCATGTATAATATATGTGTAGATAGATGATTCTATATATATAAATGTGTAGATAGCCTGCCTCCAAAATAATCTATCAGTATCACATGTCTCGATGGAAGTGTTCAACAGACCCTACATTTTTTTTTTTATTGAAGGGCATCATTACTTACCCTTACATTTACAGATCAAAGAAAAAATGAAAAATTTAATATAAAAAATTACCTGGAAAAAAAAAAGCTGTTAATACAACACATACGTGATGTTGACAAAATGTTACAATATGGTTGTAAGGTAAGTACAAGTATTGTAAGGCGTCATTATTCAAAATTTGAACCCTATTACTAATTAGTCGAAAAATGAGGAAACTTAAGTTTCTTTCGTAATAAAATCTTACCAGATGAGGCAACTTACATGATATTCCCTACAAACAGTGTGGAAAAAGCA